GTTCTGTTTTATCCTCCAGTGACTGATGTTAATATATAAAATGTCACTTTAAGTGTGTTTTCAGCAACAGCGTTCTCTGAATACACTTTTAGAATTCAAATAAAACTGCTAACATACAATAAATAAGCGATGTAAATGCATTTGTATCGTTTCTTTGCTTGTTTGTTTGTTTGTTTGTTTGTTTAAGACCTGATTTAGCCTAAATCCAGTTCAGCCCAGTCAGGATCTTTTCCAACATCCTGACCCAGATGTGGTCCTCTTTTGTTTCCATACAGTCCCTAACAGAGTCCGTCTCTCTCCGTTAAGACCATGAAGTCTGTATTGAGCTCAGTTCAGGCGAGTAACATCTCCTCTGTCCTCAACACATTCAACTATTAAATCAATATTTGAATTCCTCACTTATGTAAGGAGGGCGTTCAAAGCTATAAGGCGGTTGACATTAATTAGAACACCAAAGCTAGTTTGCTTTGGCACCACTAAATATTTAAAGTTGAAGGGTGTGGATGGCAAATAGTGGGTACGGAAAGTATTCAGACCCCTTTAAATTTTTAACTCTTTGCTTCATTGCAGCCATTTGCTAAAATCAAAAAAGTTCATTTTATTTCTCATTAATGTACACTCAGCACCCCATCTTGACAGAAAAAAACAGAAATGTAGAAATTTTTGCAAATTTATTAAAAAAGAAAAACTGAAATATCACATGGTCATAAGTATTCAGACCCTTTGCTCAGTATTGAGTAGAAGCACCCTTTTGAGCAAGTACAGCCATGAGTCTTCTTGGGAATGATGCAACAAGTTATTCACACCTGGATTTGGGGATCCTCTGCCATTCTTCCTTGCAGATCCTCTCCAGTTCCGTCAGGTTGGATGGTGAACGTTGGTGGACAGCCATTTTCAGGTCTCTCCAGAGATGCTCAATTGGGTTTAGGTCAGGGCTCTGGCTGGGCCAGTCAAGAATGGTCACAGAGTTGTTCCGAAGCCACTCCTTTGTTATTTTAGCTGTGTGCTTAGGGTCATTGTCTTGTTGGAAGGTCAACCTTCGGCCCAGTCTGAGGTCCAGAGCACTCTGGAAGAGGTTTTGTTCCAGGATATCTCTGTACTTGGCCGCATTCATCTTTCCTTCAATTGCAACCAGTCGTCCTGTCCCTGCAGCTGAAAAACACCCCCATAGCATGATGCTGCCACCACCATGTTCCACTGTTGGGATTGTATTGGGCAGGTGATGAGCAGTGCCTGGTTTTCTCCACACATACCGCTTAGAATTAACGCCAAAAAGTTCAATCTTGGTCTCATCAGACCAGAGCATCTTATTTCTCATAGTCTGGGAGTCCTCCTTGTGTTTTTTGGCAAACTCTATGCGGGCTTTCATATGTCTTGCACTGAGGAGAGGCTTCCGTCGGGCCACTCTGCCATAAAGCCCCGACTGGTGGAGGGCTGCAGTGATAGTTGACTTTGTGGAACTTTCTCCCATCTCCCTACTGCATCTCTGGAGCTCAGCCACAGTGATCTTTGGGTTCTTCTTTACCTCTCTCACCAAGGCTCTTCTTCCACGATTGCTCAGTTTGGCTGGACGGCCAGGTCTAGGAAGAGTTCTGGTCGTCCCAAACTTCTTCCATTTAAGGATTATGGAGGCCACTGTGCTCTTACGAACCTTGAGTGCTGCAGAAATTCTTTCGTAACCTTGGCCAGATCTGTGCCTTGCCACAATTCTGTCTCTGAGCTCCTTGGGCAGTTCCTTCGACCTCATGATTCTCATTTGCTCTGACATGCACTGTGAGCTGTAAGGTCTTATATAGACAGGTGTGTGCCTTTCCTAATCAAGTCCAATCAGTTTAATTAAACACAGCTGGACTCCAATGAAGGAGTAGAACCATCTCAAGGAGGATCAGAAGAAATGGACGGCATGTGAGTTAAATATGAGTGTCACAGCAAAGGGTCTGAATACTTATGACCATGTGATATTTCAGTTTTTCTTTTTTAATAAATTTGCAAAAATTTCTACATTTGTTTTTTTCTGTCAAGATGGGGTGCTGAGTGTACATTAATGAGAAATAAAATGAACTTTTTTGATTTTAGCAAATGGCTGCAATGAAACAAAGAGTGAAACATTTAAAGGGGTCTGAATACTTTCCGTACCCACTGTAAGTCATTACATTACCGTTTGAACCCTCCTATGGTTTATATCATATAGATGGTATGATTTTAAGTGGCGTGAAACCAGGCCCGGCTGGTTTGAACCCCATTCCTCCCCATGTGAAGTGTCTGAGTATCTTGAGTCGGTCTGAACTGAAGATCCGGATCCGTAAAAGGTTAATTAAGATTAATCCGTAACTTGTCACATCCTCTCCTCAAATGTCATAAACTGCTGAATGTACAGTACGAGTTACACCTCCTCCACAAGTTTATTATTTAGGGAAGTCCGTCTGGTTTCCACTGCTGCATAAACACCAAGACGTCGTTGGAGGAAGGCTGGAAGTACGTTTTTCTATTTATACTTAATTTAGATTCATTTTAGGGTTATTTTACTCACATTTGCCGTTGAAATTAGCATGTAAAGTACTCATTTGCAGACACAGTTTTTTTATATTTACATGAACACAATTTTTACATTTTTGATAATTTATTATTAATATATTCTTATAAGAAAATACTTATGGTGGTCAAACATGTCTCCATAAATATGCTTTTTAGGAAAACAAGAAAAACCTTTGTACTCCAAATTATTGGCCTCCTTGAATATTTAGTATCATAAATATATTATATAAATATCGTGACTCCAAGCATTGACTTGCAATATATGGAAGTGACTACACATTACAGATATTAGTTACTTGTCAGTTATACACAGTATTCACAAATACAGTGTAAGAATCTTTTAACCCACTTAAGTTCCCAGAACTCCAAACCTGAAATGAACAAATATCACTTCAAATGTGTACCCGTACTGTTCTAGCTGGCCCCAGACCTGAAGCTTCCCTAATTCTGCAGCGGTTCCCAGAACCTGCACACCCTTTGGTGGTGAGAATCATTACTCTTATGTCTCTGAAGTTTCACTTACCACCTGGTTCACTGGATCACAGCAGTGAACCGGCTCCGGTCCTCAGTCTTCAGACCTCCACTTCTTCATCTTCTTTGACGGGGGAGGTTGAGGTTTGGAGTCCCAGACCTATGCGGTGCACGGTCTCCACCTTCGGTGCCGAGTGACCAGATTTGCTCTCACAAGAGTGATCCTGCCGACAACGCCAAGTTTTTGTTGGCAATTACCATTGAATGAAGCACAAAGTCAACTTTTGTCTTTCTGTAAGTTTAATTCGAGCGTCTACAGCCCAGTCCAATGAATGAGATGCACAAATGAGCAAAGGACACGAGACTGTCGAGTACACATTATCTAGTCCTGGTGCAAAAACAGCATCTCGCAGAACAATGTCGGCCATCTTGTCTTGCTCTGTCCTCGTTCATTGTGTAAGGCACTAAAGCTTTGTCTTTGGAATGACACACTCTAACATAACGAGGCGATTTGTTTGGTTAACAAAACACTATCTCCCACTGGATGGAGTTTTCCTCAAATCCATTGAGAGCATAAGAGAGTCGCTAACGTTAGCCCTAAATTCTGATAGCATCCAGGACCAGCAGCAACACAGTCCAGTCCAGTGGGAATCCAGTGACAAATGAGACTTCAGTCTCTCTCTTTTTGAAAATGAAACATTACTATGAGGTGTAGTGGTAGCAAATCATCTGATCAGAGAAGAGAGCAGGAGTTTTGTTTTGAAACAAAATTTTGAACTGAGCCATGTTGGTTTTTAAAAAGCTGACTTTTCGAAATGAAACGGATTACAGTGCATGTGCTGGTCATCAACGGGGCTTTTAAAAAAAAAAAAGCAACCTGCATCCCAACTAACTAACGTAGTTAGCTAATGAAATGCTCCTCGGCTTTGGGAGTAATGCTCGGATACTGCTACAGGTAGTTAGCACACTAGCTCGACATTCTAACTTCTGCAGTTGACATTAAAGCAGATACACATGTGGTTTAATCCATTCCTTATACTATTGCTCATGTTTTTGGCTTCTGAAAGGCTAAAAAACGAATTACTCCACCCTCCAACGTTTGTGAAGACTCGTCATTTGCACGCCACTTATGAGCTATTAGCTATGATTGGACAATCATTGTTCGGGTTTAGCTGATGGGACCACCAGCTGCTGAAATGAATTCTGGGATTTGTTTTTCTGCTGTGGTTCCAAATGAAGCAGTGTAACTTAACTGTAACGACGACTGCTCTTGTTCTCTCTTCTGACCTAAAGATGCACAGTGTCTGACGATGACGTCCCTGAAGACCAGCTATCTCCCGCCCCTCTCTGCCTTCCTCTTCCTGGCCATCGTTCCTACTGTAACTGAAGTTTCTAGGGAACCCCGCCACAGGTCCCAGGCGTCTTGGAGGGCGGGGAAATCCAGAACCAGAACCGATACAAACCCATATGCCAGACTTTTAAGAACGAGATCAGGAGGACGGAACTCTAGAGACTGGGGGTCAGGAGGATGGAACTCTAGAGACTGGGGGTCAGGAGGATGGAACTCTAGAGACTGGGGGTCAGGGAGACGGAACTCTAGAGACTGGGGGTCAGGGAGACGGAACTCTAGAGACTGGGGATCGAGAGGGGAACTGAACTCTAGAGACAAGTACTTATCTCAAGTAAAGTATCTCAAATTTTAAGTACAATACTTGGGTAAAATGTACATCACCGCCACATCCGGAAATCATCCTCAAGCTGAAACGAAGAGGAAAACTTACTAACTGTGAGACTCTGCAGTTATGGGACATAAATAAACACCAAAATGGTGAGACCCTGGTTGTTTGCTGCTGCTGCAGTCAGGGAAAGTCCCTGGGATACGTCTGCAATCAGGACTTGGCTGACCTGTGTTCTTTACACTAGATGTGAAGCCACACCTCCACTGAAATTCATATCCCTACTTCCTTAAAATAGTTAATAGTAACTTAGATTATGTTTTGCCAGATTGCATGAAGCTCTGAACTAAGATGGTAAGTTTTTTCTTGGTTTATTTTCAATGGCTGCTGCAAATAACAATTATTTTCTTGGGCGATTTATTCTTTGGGATATTTTATCAATTAATCAAATGGTGTTAAAATGTTGTAAAATGTCACGAATTGGCAATAATAATAATAAAACGTGTATCACAGTTTCCCCAGAGGCCAAGGTGACGTTTTCAAATGTCTTGTTTTGTCAGATAAAAGTCCTCAACCTAAAAATGATATTTAGTTTGTAATGAAATCCTCACATTTGAGGAACAGGAACAAACTGATTTTTGGCATTTTTGCTTGAAAAAAACCCTCAAATCATTTAAATACTTTCTTTGATTTATGTTTAATAAAGAAGATCTAAAATACAATGTTATTTTGACGTCTTATTCTCACTTTTTCACTGAAAGTTAAGGTACTCTTTGATTTGAGAAGGGAGTTTTATTAATCCTATTAATACAAGTACCTCAAAAGTAGTTAATGTACATTCCACCACTGGCTACCTGTATATCTTCCATAGGCTGCATGAACAAAGTTTATTAAGTACAGAAATGCAAGACCGTGATGAGAGGATGGCAGGGGTGGAAAGTACTAAAGGACAATCTTCAGGTACTTTATACTTCAACAAGGAAAATGTTGTACTCCAGCTTTATTCACTAGATAATATACATCTTAAAGGAGGACTGCATTGATTTTACACAACTAATAATAATAACAACAATCCAATAATATAATATGTAAATTAATATATTATCTATATCTGAAAGGGGTGATTAAAGATACTTCAAGTATATTTTCTCTCTATATGTAAAGTTTTGTAATAAAATATTTTACATTGTGGTGCTACTTAAATAAAGGATTCAGTACTTCTTCCACCACTGCAGGACGGAGGAATCGGTGTGTTCTCCTGGATTACATTAAATTAAATTGAATTCAATTAGTATTGTATAAACTGTATAATTGAACCAATCCACTGTGATACTAGAATTAATTTTACATTAAGAATGACAACAAAACTAAAACTAATCAACCCAAGTAACAGAAATCAGCTGTGTGGGTTTACCGTGTGTGTGCGTGTGTGTGTGTGTGTGTGTAAGACCATAGTCATTACTTTGTCATGTTATTGCAGTTAAGTTTTGGTTATTCAGTTACTGCATTAGCCAGCAATAGAGAAGTGACAGACATAATCAGTGTACAGTAGGTGTTTTGTCTTTGATTCTGTTACTAATCTACTTTTATCTGTACAAGTGTACAAACACTTACTGCTTCATGATGCTGTGAAATACAAACATCTTGAAGAAAGTTTTTCCCAGGTTTTGTCCCTCCAGGAAGGAAGGTCTGATATTCTTTGTGTACACAGTGATGCTGGTCCTTACAGGAGCCAGTACAGTATACATGGATTAGCTGGTGGGTTAGCAATCATTAACAACAAGGTGAAACTACTTTTTCACACCTTTCTGAGACTTTATATCTGAGTCTTTGTGGAAAGTTTCAAATGCCCCAGAGTGAAACAATGTATAAAAAGAAACTGCGGCAACGGTTCATTACCAAGTCGGTTTGCACATACAAGCAATTTGATTTGGTGATGTGGTGCATAACAATAAACAAGTGCAAAAGCATAAAGACATCATAAAATGGCTGTTTTGCCCGACGCGCTTTGCCAAGCAAGGGTCGTTTCTGATGCGGCCGTGCCTGTTGCGTTGCGTCTTGGTTTGATCAGGGCCTGACAAGGTTAACATATGTTTTTGTTGGGCATTTAATGAAATATCTTCTCCAAATATGACCCATTAGTTGTGGTTTTCCACAAGCTTTGGTTCTCAGTCCAGTTTTCTATACATGCTTTACTTCTGTTCCTGTGATCAATAACGCAGGTTGCCCATCCGTTATTATGCTGATGATACCTGAATATATGTTGCATTCTACAGTGCTGAGCTGAAGCTTAAGATCACATTTGTTTTTGATTCCTCTCAAAAAAATCTCAGGTTTTTACAGGTTACACAAACTCTGACTGTAATGTTTGACATTCTTTGTTCTGTCCTCTGCCCAAAAAATACACAGGACGTGACGATGACTTCCCTAAAGAGATGGAGTCTCCCGCCCCTCGCTGCCTTCCTCTTCCTGTCCATCGTTCCTACTGTAACTGAAGTGGTGGACTCAATGTCAGACTGTGACCAGTTTCTTCTGGAGGGAACTCCGCCACAGGTCCCGGGCATCTTGGAGGGCGGGAAAATCCAGAACCAGAACCGATACAAACCCATTTGCCAGACTTTTGAGGACGAGAGAAGATTTGTGACGCTCTACGACATCAAGAACAAGATTCCAGTGTTTTCTGCGTACAAGTACAGAGGGGGCGGAGGAAAGAGACCCGTTACCAGGTGGAGGATAGAGCCACAGGTAGTTTCTTTTGATTAACTGATTAAAAAAAATAGATTACTAATATTGTATTTTGAGTGCAAATATTTGCTGCTTGTACATCCACATCTATAGTACAAGTTCTAAAACCATTAGCTACTATGAATCATTATCATCATTATCATCATCATGATTAAATCTAATTAGTTTGGGTCTAACCTCTAACTTTTGCACCTTCAGCTTGAAGAAAGAAACACGGACAACATGAGGGACGACGCATACCGCCATCAGGCCGCCAACAATGATTACACAAAAAAGGGCACAGGCTATAATAGGGGACATTTATTTCCATCTTCTCATGCATTAGATGAAAGTGATAGAAAATCAACGTTCACCCTGACAAACATCGTTCCACAAGCAGTGAGTTTCAATGGAGGCAGCTGGGCAAACATGGAGAGCTGCATGAAATGCTTCCTGAACAAGTACTGCGTCAACATTAATAATGCCACTCAAGGCTTTGTAGTGACTGGAGCGCAGCCCAGCCAGAACAACATACTCAATAACAGGGTTAATATACCTTCCATGTTATGGTCAGCATTCTGCTGTTACAGCAATAAAAGGAAAATGTGGCTAGCAAGTGCACACTGGGGCAACAATGTTCCAGAATTTGGACCTCAACATCTGCAGACAAAGACTTTGGCTGAACTCCATCAAGAACTGAGCACAGTGGACTCAAGATTTGAGATGTTTCCCAGAACACAGTGTCCACTCCACACAACTGTTGCTGAGTTTTACCCAGAAATCAATGCAGATAACAATTGCAAATGCCCACCGCAAGCTTCAACCACATCTACTACTTCTACTACAAGAGTTACTACTACCACTACTACAACCACCACCAGAACTACAATGAAAAATAACAATTCAGAAAATGAGGACGATGGGCAAGGAGGAAATCAGGAAGGAGGTGGTGGTGCTGGAATTGGAGGTGGTGCTGGAATTGGAGGTGGTGCTGG